ATAAAAAACACAGTCTTTTACAGTAAAAAAAACAAACAAAAATCTATATTTGGCCTATACTATAAGAGTATAAGAGAACAACACAGGCCTGTAGACTGATTGCAAATTGAAAATTCTGTTAAGTGTCAAACAGGTGTGCAAGAAAATACGTGTTCAATATCGACTGAAGTCAAGATGAAAACACCATTGTTAAATAAATTGATTTGTGAAAGGAATAAAGTCATACAACACCAGAATTCTGGATCTGAGTGAGGTTTATTGTCACCGGGCTGACAAGCTAAACCACACTGACTCACAGTCAGGAAGTACGTTTTTATACATGATTCTTCAATGCCTGACTTCGCCCCCTASTGACCTACGGCTGAATCACAGGCATTCATGCAAAAACCTCAACCTAATGTTATTAAAACGGGTCACTTATGTGTTGTTTATGATTTGGACATGTAGCTACTCTATTTCAATTAACATATAATTGATCAAACATTATAAAAGTATTATAAAAAGGAAACCCTAATACTCTAGTATTGTTTCTAACATCAGTACTAATCTATAATAACTGTAAATTTCCTCAGGCGCTTTCGGTGATTTCTTACTGACCAGGGAGTTTCTAAGCTTTCTAAGTTTCTAGAGCATGGAGCATATATGGTTTCTGTTCTGTAACCACAGCTAAAAGGGAGTTTGGACTTCCTGAATGAAATCTGCATTAACTGTTTTGCAAAAGGGTGTGAAAACTGTGTCAATCCAATGAGAATGGGTTAACACAGTTGCAAGAGGTGTCTTCTGCTCTGCTGAGATGGTGATGATGAAGACTGAGAGGTTCCCATTTTCTTCAAACAGGTCATACACTTGTACAAACACTACAGGTGCTCATACACTTGTGTCAAAGTTGAATTGTTTGAAGGCAAAATTAGATTTTGCTCCATATTTTAAATGTTTTGGCAGTTGTTGCCTTTTGCAAACAAAATGCGTCGTTTTGACCACTGTGGCACAGTTTAGGCCTCTGCGTTAACTGTTCTGAAAATGTGCATTTTGAGTTGACGGCTGCGTCAAAACAATCAATAAAAACTGTTATAAGTTTTACTATTTTAAATGTAATTAACTCATTTCACTGACAGCTCCTTGTAATTAGTTTCCAAATCCATATGCTTTTCTTTCACTTCACTAATCAAAAGTGACAAACATTTACAGTGAGCACAGCAGCAAAGAGATTTACTGAAACCTTGGACATATAACAGCTTCTAAGCACCAGTTTGGAATAAAGCTTTTGACAAATGGTCATTTCTTTGATTCAGTTTGCTTTAAAATAGGCTTTATTGTTAGGTAAAACAAACAGCAACATACAAACACACACACACACACACACACACACACACACACACACACACACACACACACACACACACACA